ACACACACACACACACACACACACACACACACACACACACACACACACACACACACACACACACACACACACACACACACACACACACACACACACACACACAACAATTATGAGGTGATGTCATCTCCTCAGTACGGTTCTCTCCTCTCACATCAGAACCCACAGAATAGGCTCCCATATGGATGGCTTCAGTCCTGACTGGGGCATCGGCCAATGAAAGGCCCTTTGTGTTCTCAGGAAACAGGCCTGTTGTCAGACTGGTTTCACCAGGCCTCCATGGTTACCAGTAATTGATTTAGAGAGAGACGAGGGCATAAGGACAAGACAGGGAGGATCCTTCTTTCAGGTTTGCAACATTCATAGGGTGCTAATTGGGTGTTTTATTGGCACAACACTTATAACATTGTTTTATTTTCCTCAACTCTATAATGTGGACAAATAAAAGGCACATTTAGCCAACGTCACACTATTCTCTCTTCATTAAAGGTGGGGTAGGTAAGTTTGAGAAATCGGCTCGAGATACACTTTTTGTTATATTCCATGGAATGTTCTTAACATCCCGATAGCAATGAATATCTTAAGTGCTTTGACAAAAAATCCATTAAAAAACGTCATCTGTGGAAGCCGTAGTACTGTAAAAAGCACGATCAATCATTTTAGCCGGCCCGGCTAAAATAACTGGATGGCCTACCTGCCTGCCTGTCAGCCTTCCATCTGTGCACAAACTTATCTCGTGCCCTCATTGGTCATGTGTTGGAGGAGGGGCTCTGTAAGGAAGTGACAGATTTTCTCCGGTTGTGTATTTTCAAATTCCAGCACACTCGAGCTGGTTTCTCCAAAATTACCTACCCCACCTTTAAGATTGGAAAGAGTGCTGCTTCTTAATATTATTTAATTTAATCAACGCAAGTCACTTTTTTCAGTCGGATCACATGCCAACTCCAAACACTTTAGTTGGATTTGAAACAAACGAAGTGTTGCAACATTATGGAACAGTGTGCTAATTTGTCTATGCATTTAAAAGTTTGGTAGCATCTGTAAGCATAACGACTAGAGGCAGATTTGACTTTTCAAAGTAAAAAAATGTGACATGGTTTTTATATCTGTAAGAGTTAAACAAACAAGATACAACGCGATAGATTCTAAACTTTATAAAATAGTCATGCTAGCTGTTTCAGTCTTAATGCTATTACTTATATTTGGTTGAGTTGAATCTTCTTTTTTATTTATTTATTCACATCTTGTTCAGAGCATATTTAACAAAAAGGTTGAAGCATTTGTTGAGTTGAGTCTTGAATCCATCTGATTCCACACTACTCTCCCTCCACTGTCTCTCTGTTGGATTGATTCACATGCTTTCTTATGTATTTCTATAACATATTTCAAATGTAATACAAATTATACTACAACACAGTACTATATACTATTATAATTATTATGGTTTACTTCCTCTAAGCACCTGTATTTATTTCTGACTGTGTATTATTAAAAATAAAATAATGTTGTAAAATTAAAATGTAAAATTGTGATTAAAAGAACTTGCAATAAATAAACTTAAAATAAGAAAATAATGATGCAAATTCTAAACATGCACACTTCCAAAGAAGCACTTTGAATTTGTGACCTGCTTGGTTTAGGGGTTACTTGACAGGAGAGTAAAACCAACAGCAGTTTCCAAATCCACAGTAGCCACACATTCTTCACTTCTAAGGACCTGACTCAGTAGCTTTATAGTGTGGCTG